AAAAGTAACTTTCGTTATCATGGAATTATAACAAAACCTGCCAATTCAATATAAATGGAAAAAAAATATTATATGGAATTGAACGAAAATGAAAATTTGCTTGATAATTCAACTACGCTTGTTGGAGAACAATAAAAACACTACACTCAACAAGCCACCAATAAAACTCAACTGCCTAACCTATAACCAAAGTCTCTTTTTAATTTGTTTTTTAAAAAAAGCGCTTGACAAACTTGCCCCGCTTGCCGAAGTTGCCCCGATCTCCCCTAATAATGTAATAATATTTTAAATATATTTACAAATATAAATATAAAAAGATAAGACTTTTATTCACTTTGGTATAAAGTAAGTCGAAGTTTAAAGTGTAAAAAAAAACCCCGACTTTGAGTTAAAGTTTCGAATTAACGAGTTTAATACTCGATATTTTTCTATGACCGTAGATTTCCCGTTATAGTACAGTTTTTCAAGAATCTGTTAACTGAATGATTACAAAATTGTTTACAGTTTATGGTACTTTTAGGTGCGTTATCAAGAAGCCTCCTCCTGTTCCTATCAGAATGCCGGTAACATACTGTATCAGTAAAAGGATGTCGAAGCGAGATTATAATGGCGTGGTGTTACCTTGGGCATGGAGTTATGGTGTTTGTTTATTAATTGTTTGTATTCACATGGAATATAAGTAAAAATGAAGATCAGAGACATGTCAAAAGGTAAAGGATATACAAGAAAATAGGTTCAAATTGGAAGTAACTACGATTTCGACTTAACAAGACCGTATTACACGGAAACCCTATGTAGCGTGATCGGAACCTGTAGATAGCTTCGATTTTACTGTAGTTTTTTTCATATTTTATACTTAAAACAACAGTTTTGATTATATCAATAGAAATATTATTACTACCGATGAAAAGGAATATACCAAAAATCACTAGATTAGAAAAATCTTATCATTTAAATTTGATCATAAATTGAAACGACTTGAAAATAAAGTTAAACTTCTATATAAAAATAGCTGTATACAAAATAAGAAAAGTGAACTGGAATACATCAAGTTGAATGTAAAGCCTATAAATTCTCAAGATGGTGATCAAAAAAGATAGTTTTTATTTCTCTAAAGATTACGATAGCTTTATCTATCGACAAGAATTATCGACGAATAAATACCAAACACAGCATTTTTTTTCCTAAAGCAACAAGATAAAATATGATATCAATAAATACTGTATATAAAATGTATTTTTAATTTTACTTAAACTTATTTAGAATTTTTAACTAAAATTAATAAATATTTATAGACTTTAACTATAAAATGTATTAAAATTTAATTAAAATTTATGAAACTTTTTTTATTTTTTGTAATTGATTTCCTATACAGCAAAATTTCTAATTCTTTTAAGCTTTATATAAATATCAAAACAAAGTTAATACTTTAGCTTTCATACAGGGTGGTCCAAAAGTCAGTTAACTGAATTAATTAGAAGCGTCTGAATCACGAAGTATGCAGCTATTCTACACTAACTTAAATTTTGGTTTGGTGTAAATAAAAATAAATTATATATTCTATAATTATTATGATTTATAATGTAGAAAATATGCATTAAAAGAACTTATTAGACTCTAGAATTTAAATTTTGCATTATTCATTTGCTACGTTTAAAATAATAATTACTGTCACTAAATTATACATTAAAGTATTATTTTTTTATTATTATTCGAAAATTGAATTAATTTTTAATAAAAAGCTTATTTTTACAAAAAATGTACGCGTCATTCATTTTACATATTAATTAGCTGAAAATTAAATTTAATTTAATTCAGTACATTTAACCTTCAGCTTAAATTAAATTTTCAATAATTCTATTTTAATGCTCCCAAAGAAAATTAGAATTTAATTATTTTGGACACCAAGATATCGAAAGAAGAACGTTAATGAAGCTGAATATCAGATAATTTAACGTCATTAATGAAGATGAGAAAATGTTTTGTAAAATTATTAGAAGGAAAAAATAGTATTAATGTTTTATAATTATCTCTTTTTTTTAAATTCTTCGTAGCACTTACAATAAATGTTATTTCTAGAATACTTTATATAAGAATATTTTCTACTTTTTAAGTAATTCAAACTTAAATATTCTGTTTACGTTGAAGAATTCATTAATTTCTTCGTAAATACTTTCGTAATTTCTTTCGTAAACACCAACAATTTCAGATATAACATCTAAAAGTGTTGATATTTATAGTGTTTTTATTTTAATAATAATAACTTAATACATATCAAATTAATTACTTTAATTCCTCCTAAATTAAATATAAAATTGTTCATTATTTCTACTAAATAAACAATTAATTCATTAACTTATTTTTCGTTTGTACATTAGTTGAAGCGAGACAGTATAATATTAAATTGTAGAAGAAAAATAATAACTCGTATTTAGTATACGTCTTTGCATTCAATTCAGAATTCGTATTATAAAAGTAATTGAAGAAAAATTTGGGAATCAGAATCAGATATCTTTTTCTTTTTGCCTGCATATATATAGAAAGATCGGTTTCTTTCCGTATCGAAGTACGATAATTGCATTGAAACTATCCGATTCAACATATCACAAAAACTTCCATTAGAGAAGGATATTGATAGGCACACAATTCAGACGGTTCATTTCCCGTCTTTTTGCAACCATTTCTATTAGTGAAGAAAGTCGGATTTCTCTACTTAGCTGTGCTTCTTGTAGCATGCCCACCGTTGTCCTAACTTGCTTTATTGCTTGATTTCAGTTGTCGTTCTAAATCCAAAACTCCTTTTGTTTCATCTCCGTAAGAAAAAGGGATTTAAAGATAAGTAGAAAAAAAGAATATACAAGCGACTCGCAAAGCGATTGGAGATTCTCTCTTTCTCCTTTCTCTGAATTATCCCTTAATATCGATTTTCTTAGAAGGAGAATGGAAGTTTCATTTATTATTCACTATTCCTGTGGCGGTACTGGGGATTTTCTGGATGGAGGTGGCGATTTGCGGTTGAAATCGTTCAAGTCATTCTGAATAGAAGACAAATCAAGCAGCGATCGAGTTTTTCGATAAAAGTGCTTTATTTGTCACTCTTGGAGAATTTTTAAATAACATTTTTCTTTCTTTACCACTTATATTAACGAAAAATATCAAATTGTTCAATGATTTTTCAAGTTCACTTGTATACTAAAATCTTAAAATTTATCAGTTTTTAAAATATATATTCATGTAAAGTACTTAACTTCGAATTTTTAAAATATATTTTAAAACAAATTAAATATTATTAAAAAAAACTATCACATATTCTTGATTAATAAATTTAAATTATTATTTTAATTTATACTAAATTTTGATTAATGTCATTACTTCTAATCAATATATATATTTAATTAAGTAAAGTATTTTTAATTTTTTAATTAATTACTTTAAAATGTAGATAATTAAAATTTCACTTAAATACTGGATTAATTTTTTAAAATATAATTAAGAAAAATACTGAAATCAATCCTGCTTTAATTATTTTGATAAAATTATGTATTGTTTCAGTTCATAAATTTTATAAACATTATATTAATATTTTTAAAATACGCAATATAGAATTATGCACAATAGTAAATTTTTAATGCAATAAAAATATCACATTTTAAATATAAGGAAAGTAAAGTTCAAATTCTATACAGAATGCTATAATTGAGTCGGATTTCTGATGAAATAGGCTATATATTAAATATCTAAAATAAAATTATAGTAATTCTAAATTTATTACTAGAA